TTTTTTGATGACGGGTGAGTTAGTATGTGAAAGTCAAAATATCCTGTAAATATCTTTGTATATATACAATAAAGACATGCCAAGCTAACCTGACTGTGGGTTAAAAAATAATAATAATAATAATAATAGATTTTTTTACTAAATATAAAAAATATAAAGATATAATTATTTTAAAAAATATATTAGTTTTTTTAAATAGATAAAAAAATGAATAATTCAATATTTTTTTAATAAAAATTCTTTATAAAAACAAAAAATAAATAAAAAAATAGAATAATAAAAATTCTTCGTGTCAGCCTGATGGTGGATTAAAAAAAAAAGAATAATAAAAATTCTATAAAAAATATAATATATAGTAAATAATATAAAAAATTTTTAATCTATATAAAAAAAATATTTAAATAAAAAGAAATAAAAAAAATACAAAAAAAAATAATTAAAATTAGTAGAGATATTATTAATAAAATGATATATTTAATTTAAGCAAAATTAAACTTAAACTTATATTAACTAATGCTAATTGAAAAAAAAAAATCTTTTTTTACTAATTATCAGTTTTCTTTAAAAAAAAGAAGCTAACTTTAAATAAGAAAAGAACTCAAATAATTAAAGGACATCAACTTGTTACTAAGCTCCAATAAATAAATAACTTATTAGCAAGAAATATAAAATAAATATAAAGAAAACTAACTTATATTTTATATAATTATTTCTTTACAGAAAAAAAAAAACTTTAGAAAAACTAATTTATAGTAAGCTCCTTAAGGTTCAATTTCAATTTTGATAACATTAATAATAGTTAATATTTTTCTTGATATTAAGAAAAGTCTAAATCAGTTCAAATTCAAGGTTCACAATACTTAAGAGAATGTATAAATCTCTTATGCTCAATAGTAAAGAGATCCAAAACAATATAACAATAAGTTATATTAATAATTTTATTGATAGAAGAATTAGTTTGACTAATTATATACTCTCAATAAATAATGAGTTATTGCAAAAAAAAAAAAAAAATACAAGTTAGTTATCATTAAAGTTGTTCCAAAACAGACGACTAAAATCACACCGCAAATTTACTTCATAACTACCACACATCAAGGTGTAAAAAGTTTAGCAATGTCAACCTGCGTAACGACTCTTATCGGTTTTTCATTTTTAATCATTATATACGAAAAATTTATGATATCACTAATATTTTTATATGATATTTCTAAACCAATTCTTATAAAAGTTAACAACTGCGTAACCAAGAATGTTTTTATGGAAACTTTGGATTTTATATTATGCACCGCAAATCTGGTCAATACCGGTATAAACTTTATTTAGAAATCATTAATCATTCACCATTGTAGAAAATAGGAGTTTGAAGTCCTATTGTCAATTCGTACTACATGTAAAGTGCGAGTAACTCGAAGGTGAATTATAAAAAGACTTGATTCTCTTCTTTCATTCTATAAAGATGTATAATATTCTTTCTAATTCATATAACCGCGAACTCAAGGCTACTCGAGTTGATTTGTCTTCTTTGGGAATTTCCGATGTTAAACGTGGATCAGGTCATGGAATTTGTGCTTATACAATTGATCACGTGTGTACTCCTGAAGAATGTGCCGCACTTATCGAACTTTCTGAAAGTAATGGTTATAATCCGGCAATGATGGACGTTGGAAAAGGACAACAACTAATTACTGATTTGCGGAAGAGTTCACGATACATGCGAGACGACAAGAAACTTGCTGATGCATTATGGTCTCGTGTCAGACATCTGGTGCCAGACCAATGGGAAGATTATTCGTCGGTAGGATTAAATGAAAGGTTCCGATTTTTGAGATATGATCCGGGGGATTATTTCAAACCTCATGGGGATGGAAACTATCAGCGGCCAGATGGTAGCGAAACTTCATTTTTATCGTTTCAATTATACTTGAATGATGATTTCGTTGGTGGAGAAACCGCGTTTTTATATCATAATAAAAAAGTGAAGGTCGCTCCTAAAACTGGAAGAATATTATTTTTCGAGCATTCATTGTTCCATGAAGGGGCTTTGGTTGAAAGTGGAAAGAAGTACCTTATTAGAACTGATGTCATGTATGAAACAGACAAGCACGTTATTGCGATTTCGTCAAAATAATATGTATACATCATATCAAAGATTCTTTGAATAAAATCATTTATTATACCATTAATCTTTAGAATATATTACAATATTCTAATTTAAATGTTGAACTTTACATTCCTTATATCGAATACTTCCAAGAAAATAAAAAAATCTCTTTAAAAAATTAACATCATGCCTCTCACTTGTCGAAACTGTTACAATGAAGAAATGATCAGGTAGCATAATAAAAATTTAATGACTGTGAAAAGTTCAATAGCAATCTGGTTTTTTTTTTTTGATTCTGATCTATGTAAAAAATGAGAAATAAAAAAAAATCCTATGGACAGTGAACGTCATGCTATAGAAGTGCTACGAAGAGAAGGCTTATCTATAGATGATCAGAAACTTATGTCAAAAATTGTCTCAAATGATTAAAAATTCTGATTATTTACAATGACATCCATTCTTATATTCCTCTTATAAAATAATTTATTTTTTAAAAAATTAGAATTAAATTATTAAAGTGAACAAAACTTTATCAAAAAAATTTGGAGATGTGTGTGTCATATGGGATGAACAAATCTTCTATTAGTATCAACTTTTATAGAAAAATCTGTATTTGGCATCACAAAAGTAAACTTTATAATCCAGATTGTACTCAAGCAATCATTAAAAGTAGATGCAAATCCATTATGGTTTAAAAATATATGAATGGATATAATTTGTATTCATATCTTTTCATATAAATGGTAAAAAGTATAGAAACCTTATTTTGAATAATATTTATTCAATAATTTTAATCACTAAAGATTCAATCTTATAAAAAAATATTATTTCTATTTATATATACTATAGAAACTTGCAAAAGAAATCAAATTTGAAAGACCTGTGGGTCAATAGCCCAGTGGTAGTGCTCCCAGGTTACAATCACAATGTCTGTAGTTCAATACCACTTAAGAACCAAAAATTGAAATTATTCTTCTAATCAGGTTTACCGGTTATCATGTAAAAGTCATATTCAATTATCTGGATTTCAAACAAATCTAGTTAAGTTGCATAAAAATAGGATATCTGATCTTTTTGACAATCGCGGGTTGAAATCAGGTTGAAGCAAGAAAGGTTACACAAGAAAAGGCTTCTGGTCTAACTCCCATAAAAAGTCTACAACCCCCTGGTATGACAGATTCTGTAGCACAAACTACTCTTTTAGCTCAGGATATTCTAATATGGTGCTCTGCTTAAATGAAAATTGGTCAAATGAAACTGATCTAATGCCACAGGTGGTGACAAAGAAGATAACGTGCCCCTTCCAAGGTCTAAGCAAATAATATTTTTAGAAGTATTGAAAAGTAAAATTAATTCCATTGGGTACATACTATACAGCCTAATTTAACGAATATATAATACAAAAATTTATAAAAGCTCATTGCTAGATTAGTCTGTTTCACTATTTATAACTGTATATTTGACCATCCGGTTTCTAGTTGGGTCTACCCACTTTTTGAGTAGTAGTAGGTTTATTTAGAAAAATCACAATAGATTATCATTAATCTGTATGTATATATAAATATATAGTTTATATGAGATAATTGATGTTAATGCCAAAGGATTTCATTATTTGAGATATTAAGTTAATTCTTAATAAAAGCACTCGTATCTAATATCAGTTGTAATTTAAAAAAAAAAAAAAAAAAGAAATCAAATCTAAATTTGAGAATATAGCCATGAAATAATCTCTTCAATTATCCAATCTCAGTTTAATTGATAATATATTCGTAAAAATAAAAAATTATGAATTGAATCTAAGTTAAAAGAAATTGTTATTATGATTTAATATAATATTACATTTAATAAAATTTATAGTTTTATTAACTCTATATCAAATAATATTAAAAAAGTAATAATAATAAAAAAATATACAACTTATTATTTAAGAGAAAAATAAAATTTTTATTATATATATATTTTTATTATAAAAACTAAATTCAATTTTTAAATATTTCTTTATATTAAAATAAAACTTATATTAAAAAAAAAATCTATTGAAGCCAACAATAACTTATTTAAATTTAGTTTTTTTTTAATCTACTATTAAATAATTTATTAAAAGATATATATATATATATATATAATATTTGTATAGTTAAAATAAAAAGATTTAAAAATAAAAAAAAAACTTTTTCATCTAATCTCCAGTTTTCTTAAAAGTTTTCTTTTTTATAAATTTCTTGAAAAACAAAAGAAGCCAGCCACAACACAAAAAAAAACTTTTAACAAAACCAGTAAAACAACAAGAAATAATAATACAGGACCAGTTCTTAGAGTATCTAATCTTTTAACAACAAGAAGTAGAAAAGTACAAACATACTTCAGCCATACTTTATAGATTTTTTTTTCTTTATAGAAGAAAGAAAAATTTAAGAAAACTGATTCACAATAAGCTTTTTGAGATCCAACTTCAACTCTCCAAGCTCTTAACTAGGCCAGTATAGATTAACACCTTTTTTGACATTAAGATAAGTTCTATAAACAATAGGCAAAACCAATAAATCAGTTCAGACTCAAGGTTCACAACACCTAAAAGAACATCCAAGTTTCTTTTACTAAATAGTAAAGAGCATCCAAACATCACAACAGTAATATATAATGTCGTGGGCTATCCCGGCAAGTCCGTCACTAATCCGTAGCACCTCGCATGACCCAAACTTCTCAAGAATACTCACAAATGACACAAAGAAGAGAATACCTCCTATAAAGAACACTTAAGGAAGGCAGAAGCGTAGTGATTAACTTGGCCGAAGGTAAGTGTCTCTTTATTGCGTTTTGTTTCTTTGGTATATTACTAACTCTTATCTCTATTCTTAAGAAGGGCTGTTTTTCCTAACACATTCAGCTCTATTCTCAAGGAGGGCTGTTTTTCTAACACATTCAGCTCTATTCTCAAAGAGGACTATTTTCCTAACACATTCAGCTTTGCCTTTTCGGCATACATTGGTAAGCTATTTATACTTTTCTAACTAACAATGGGCTATCTACTTTATAATTAGCTATACTAACCCTAAGCTTTGCTAAACTTTCTTTACTTTTTCAGATACACATAGTTCCCTTATCAGTATCTGAGCCTTATCTATAGTTTCGTACCTTGCAATACTTAATCTTTCATGCCAAACTTTCAGGTTTTTGGATTCTAGACCATTACATGTAAATTGCATCACCCACGTGACCCATAACAAAGCTACTAATCCTTAAATCATCAAAAGAAAGACTGAATACTATCATAAAAAAGCTTTTAAATCAAAAAATATCAACTTTGAAAATCTGGGTTCCTCTTAGAAAAAAGAATATCAACCTAAAAAATGGATTGATTCAATATGGTATTCATCACTAATAGAGGAAATCAAAATAGAGGAACTTGAAGCTACTTTGCAATATCTCTTAAACAAAAAAGCAGCTGGTTCTTATATATCAGTTATGAAATGCTCAAACACTTAGGTATTAAAGGAAAAGAGACCTTATGCTTATTGTTTAACAAAGTTTTAAATACTGAACAAATACCTAAGAAATGAAAAAGTAGTAATATCTATTTTATCCCTAAACCTAAGCCCTGAAGATATCAATTGAGTAATATAAGATCTATTGTTTTTCTTGAAACTGCTTGAAAATATTTTATCAAGATTTTTACCAATTGTCTATCAATGATATATAAATAACACAAAATCCTTAATGGTTCAAACTTTGCTGGTCTACTAGGAGAAAGCACAATAAAACCCATCTATCTATTGAATAGTATTTTTGAAGAAGTGAAAGAAAAGAAAAAAAAACCATGAATTATTTTTCAAGACACTGCCAAGATATATAATACAATATCTCCTTTTATGCTTGAAAAAGACATAGATTGAATTCAAATTCTGACAACTATCAAAAAGATTATAATAAATCTTTTTTTAAACAAAAGTTGTAACATTATTCTTTTCAATAGACTCTCTAATCCAATAGTTGCAAGAGATAGTATAGATCAAGAAAAAACAATTTTTTCACTATTATGAAAAATTTTTATGATTCATTGCTATGTAAAATTTAAAATAATACTATACTGTGTTATATTATGGAAGAAGAATAGTTACACAATTTTTATAAACCTGAAGAAAAGATCAAGCTCTTTCTAAGGTAGGTAATAATTTCCTATATGGATAATATGACCTGAATTATCAAATAAAAAAAAGATCTGGAAAATGTTTTGAAGAAGCAAAAAGTTCTATATAGCAAATAACTTATAAATTAATGTGTCAAAGTCAATTCTCCTCACTATTAATCAAAATTCTCAAGACTCTGAAATGGTTCAAGCTGGAATAAAGAATACCATAGTTCTGTAGAATACAAAAAGGATTAGATCAGATTTCTTGGTATTTAATTAGGATCAAAACAGAATTAGAATATGATTAGTTCAATAAAATCAGAAATTAGAATAATAGTTTAGACAATAACTAAAAAGAAGTTGACAGAAAAACATGCTCAATATGTTATCAATAGAGTTTGAATTCCAAAAATAGAATATAGAATACAATTTATATACCTGAATAAGAAGATATGGGATAAATAATAGTTATATTTAGAAAGGTTTTCAAGAATAAAGCTTTAATCTATAAAACAATTTCAAATAGTTGTATCCACAACAAAGAAATATATGGTTTTAAAAGTATTTGGGAAATACAGTTAGAAAGCCACATATCAATACTATTTTGCCAACTTAATAACAGTGAAATCTCTGACATAATAACTATAATTTGATTAAAATAAAGCCAAATTAAAGGCTAGGAATCGAGAAATATCTTTGATAATTCTGTAGACTTACACAAGCTGATCAAAAGCAATATGGAAGCTACAATATTGGCTTTGCCTAAAGATTCACAAATTACATTTCAAAGTTAGAGATAAAAGAAAATCTTTAATTACCAATAAGATATTCTATCTATTAAGTCAATCTTATAAAATAATAAAGAATATGAAAAAGTTATTCCATTACTATGTAAGCA